ATGCGACTGGTATACGTGACGACCGACACACTGACCACAGTATAATAACACTATATACAGGGTGATTCACCAAGCATGGTCACCTCTAGACAAACATATTCAGGGTTATTTCTTAAGCATGCTCATCCTATTTGTATGTTTAAATTATGCATATAGTAAAATTCTGATTTTATGAATGTTTAACTGTAGATAGTTAAAGACAATATTTTTTAATTCTATGATTTTTTCACAATATTCGAGTATCTTGTGACGATACTAAAATTAGTTGTTAAAATGATAACCCACTGTTTTATTGATATTTGTTAATCAGGTAATCAGTTGATTTTTCTATAAATGTTGATGTATTGTAATCGACATTTTAACCAAATTTCTGAGTTATTCACTTTGAACACTATAAGGATAATAGTCTGTATTAAACACTTTGTAAGTGGATATGAGTTTGGTAGCTATATTTAAGTATGAAACATAAAATACTTGTTAATAATTAATTCTAAGTAAAGTATTCTAAGAAAATTTTTTAATATTATACAAAATGAATATGGATCAATATTGCAACTAATAATTTTCAAATCAAAAGTCAATAATATCCTTTCAATGGACTATTATATATTTATATCCTTGGTAATATTAGTTGAATAACTCAGACAATTTTCGTTCTAATTTCGATAACAGTTCGTCAAAAATTTCAGAAAAAATATCTTATTCACAATTTGCATTAAAACATGTAAGTATGCTATGGTTTGGAAAACCAATGTTCGTCTTTAACTACAGTTAAAAACTCCAAAAATCAGAATTTCAATACAACCGTTCAAACACAAACATGAGGTGAGCATGCTGAAAAATCACCCTGTATATTATATATATTTGTATATTATACGATGTTTTACGCTTATTATAATATTATTTTTTACTATGCAAACGGCGTGTGCGTCCCCTTCGGCCGCGGGTCCGGGAAAGTGGTCCTGTTTAAAAACATATTTTTCACGTGCGTTCAGATAGATCGACTTCAACGTCCAATTACGCCATTTAAGACTTCTTTAATATAGGTTACACACGACGTGGCGTCATTAGTCACCGCAACAATCCGACGAATCGAAAACATCCGATGAGTGTTGTTATTCTTATATACAACAGTTTAAGATATAAAGAAAAACAAAATGGCAAATGGACATTTTTGAGCTTAAAATAGGTATTCATGTTTTCACAGTTACCAATTCACTTTTAATAGTTGATAATAAATTAAATAATAATAATATCCAAATGAATAATTTGACTCAAAACGAAACCAAATTATATAATAATTCTTAAAAAAAAATGAACAACAACTACCTAATGTGTGTAACCTCATGTATTTTTTTGGTATTTTTGAAATTCTGTAAGAATCCATCATAATGAACTTTATTTTAAACGTTCAAGCTTTTTGATTAAGATACAAAAACAGTGATAACAATATGATTAAGAATCTAATAGGTAATCCAATATAAAAAATAAATAAGAACTTTTTAGATATAATTAATTCAATGTTATTCCAAAAGCATTTTGACAACTTGATTCATACGTGATGAACATGGTACCTACTTGTATATGAGTCCTAAAGTAGGTATTATGATAAATTAAAATATATATTAACGAGTTTCACGTTTTGGAGTGATTCTATTCTATGAATAAAAAAAATATATATAACATGAAAAAAGAAAATTAATAAGAAGTGTTATAATAACTCATAATAATATATTAGTATACATTTTCTATATCACTTTCGACCATAGGATGAAATCATCTTCAGCGTTTATTTGAGTATCTTCTGCACATTATATATTATGTAGGTAAGGCAGTTACAAACACTATATAATAATAAAACCAGACAAATAACATAATAGGATGAAAGGTTTTGTTAAGTAAGTATTAAATAAATTTTATTATTATTTTACTCATACCTATATCATAATATTATAATAATTAATCACAAATATAGTATCATTAAAACGGATTCATATTTATAGGTAGTACCAACCTACTTAACACATAATATCATAACGTATAGTCTCTAAAGTTATTTAACTAATTAATTATATGACTCTTCGTTGTAATATTGTAGGATTTTTTTTTTACATTAACTGGAACAAAAACAATTAATTATAACAATAATAATGTGTAGTTATACTAATGGTTTATAAAGCTAAAAGCTTTTACATTATTTATAATTATAGGTAGCCTATTATGATATAGTTACATAACATATTAATTAAAATTATTGTCTTGTCTACTAAACTACTTATAACGAATCTAATATAAATAATACTTTAAAAAAATCTAAAGTTTATGTCTAGTTCTTCATTGTTTAATTTAAAGCAGTGCAAAATATTAAATTCAAATGTTCGTTATTTTTACAAATGTAGTCAAAATTCAAACTTTGGCCGCTCATAAAAAAATTTTGGACTTTTTTTTTTAATTGCCCCTAACAACAACTTATGACTTACATGGAACCTTGTATTACATTTTCAAGTCTACAAACACAGCGAAAAATTTTTATCGTTATTTTTACAAAAAACCTAATTATAATTGAAAATTGAAAATTTTCTATAGAATAAAATGGTATGCCCATAAATAACTTAACATGAGTCAAGATATTTTGAAAACTGTATAGTATTTAGATACCTAATGCTAATATAAACATTTAGTGAACACTTCATGTACCTATCTCCGTTCATTTGCAAATTTAAAGATAAAACCAAAACCTATTTTGTCGAAAACTGATTAAATTCAGGTTTTTCATTTTTTATTTCCCCCCCCCCCCCGTTATTTTAAAAACTACTGGGAATTTTAGAATTTTAAATGTTGACATCCAAATGCATCAACTATATTCACTTTTCCACCTGAAAAAATCGAAGTAAAAAATCGTGTACACTGAAAATAAAAAACTTACATCGTAGTAAAATCAATACATTCATCACTCCGCTTAGATTCTAAAAAAAGGTAGAGATCAGTTAAGCTGTCTGCTTTACAGTACATTTTGTGTGTACCTCGTCTTTTAATTATTCACTCTAATGTTGTGTTAAATTTGAATTAGTTAATAAATCATTAAATATGATACACGATTTTGAGTGAAGACTGTCTACCAGCTTATATAACTTTAAGTATATTAATTATTGATATGTTTTTTGGGAATTGTTATTAAAAATTGATTGAATTAATCTAGGGCTGGCTCAATGTGACCACCAACTTTTTCTGGACAGTGCGCTGTTGGCAATTCGACCATGACTATATATATAACTAACCATATTATATGGTAATTATTAATATAAATTAGAAAATATAAATAAAATAAATAATGTTGAAAATTAAATTTCTCATGGTGAATCTAAAGTATAATAATTTATAACCTCAATCCACTAGAAATAATATCTATAATCGTATCACCGACCACTAAAGAGATATAAAATATGGCATCATCATTTTTAAACTCCAATAATTATGAGTGGTTATATAATAGATAATGCACCTATCTACACCTACTTAATTATAAACTTGAGACATCAGTCATAATATTTATTTAAGATAGTATTTTAATCTATTTGTCATTGATATACAAGTATAATGTAATTATTCAATATTTGTTTTTTTCATTATGAACGAATGGTTCTAAAACATATAAATATTCTACAAAACATCACAGTTTATTATTTAAATTAATTATTTTCGCTGTATTTATTAACCATAACAATGACGAGTATACCAAATACTTTATATACAAATTTATTTTCAATTTTCTTAATTTATACGTTCCTCGGCTCGAGGATATTACCAGTAGAAATAGCAAGAATATTGGCCGTACAATCAATTGCTAGCAAAAGTCATTAGAATTACATTAGTTCTATACTTCGTGTTTTGTCAAATAATGGTCATCATGTTACTGTGTTTACACAATTTACCGACGGCGAACGAGAAAACTATACAGAAGTAAATACATCAGATGATCAACCACCATTTATAGAAATTAATTTATTTGATACATTGGATTTATGGAGACATCCTAGATCGACTTCCCAATTTATTAGAGATTACCGTACAACTTTATGTGACGTAGCGTATAAAAATGTTCATTTAAATAAAATAATGGAAGAAAAAGAAAATTCCAATTTCGACATACTCTTAATTGAGTCTTTGGGATACAATTGAGAATTGTATTTGACTAATAAATTAAAGTTACCCTTCATTCATTTGATTGCATCGCCAATGGTAACATTTGAGGAACGTTTTATTTCCGGTGACATCCCAAACCCAGCTGCGATGTCTCATTTATATGCTGATCATGTCATTCCTAAGACATTTGTACAAAGATTTTCAAACACTGTATTACCGGGGTATTGTACTATCATTTTAAGCTATGGCCGATTGATAAGAAAGTATACGAAGAAAGTAAAATAACCTAACCATACGATTTGGAAATAATTACCGCTCAACCATCTCTGAGATTTCTAAACAGTCATTTCATAACTGAGTTTTCGAGACCGTTTTCACAAAACGTTATACAAATCGGTGGCATGCATTTGAAACCTCCAAAGAGCATACCAAATTTAAGTACCTATCACACTGCTCTGTTTTAACAACTTTAATATCATTAGTAAATATAAAAAATATTCTTTCTTTTTTTTTATTATGGACATTGATGTTATTTTTTGCCCTTCCTGCGTTTAATGAAATATTATTTAATGGAAATGTTTTGAACCTTAATATTGTAACAAATTGATTTTATAATAAAATTATCCAAAAATTAACAATTTCATTAATAAAATAAATTTCATAAATATAATATAATATAATATTTTTTTTATTTTAGGATATATTAGAATTTATTGAAAATTTTCCGCATGGTGTAATTTTGTTTAAATTCGGTTCAGTTGTTAATATGTCTACGTTACCTGACTATGTAATGGACCAGCTGAAGGAAGCATTTAGCCCTAGTTCCTCAAACAATATTATTGAAATATGAAGGAGAAATGGCGAATAAACCAAAAAATGTAATGATAAGAAAATGGTTACCTCAATGGGATATTTTATGTAATATTTTCTGTTATAATTAATTATGTATAACTTAAGTTAGAACTTTGTTTATAAAGTTTTATTTTGATTTTAAGTGCACCCCAATTTAAAATTATTTATCAGTCATGGAGGTATATCAGGAGTACATGAATCAGTGGATGCTGGCGTTCCAATTCTCGGATTCCCTTTGTTTTACGATCAGCTAAGAAATATAGCTAACTTGGTTAATGCTGGAATGGCCATGGATGTTTTATCTGTGAAAAAGGATACATTTTTGAGAAATGTATTAGAACTAGTAAATAATGAAAAGTGAGTTTGTCAAGATTTATGTTTACATTAACAAAACAACAATTTAAAATGTAAATCTAGATTAGTTTTAACAATAATCTATTTTGAAAGTATATACAAAACGCTACAATTGATTCCGATGTATTCAAAAACCGACCGATGTCCCCGGAACAGTCAATACTTTACTGAACTGAATAATATGTAATTCGCCATATAGGTGCCCCGCATTTGACGCCATACTCAATTAATCTAACATGGTACCAATACTTTTTGTTGGATGTCATCACTGCGATGATATAGTATTTATTTATATTATTTTATTTATAACATATAAATTGATAAAACGGTGACGTTATCATATTTGGAAAAAATTACTGAATAATAAAGCAAAATTGGAATAAGTTAGTATAATATTATTTTACCAATTATAGATTTTATATTATGTATTGATAGTTTTACATTTACAATAATGAGTATCCTAGAGAATATAGTTAAAATTAATGTCATATCCAACAGATGAACATGATACACCAAACCTCGTAAACCGTTAAAATTATCATATAGAAAACAACAAAAAGAAAATCAGCGCTGCCATGAAAACAGAAATAAAATACCACTCATTTCAATTCCAACCATGTCTATGAAACACACCCTATATTATTATAATAATTAGTAATATTATAATATTAGATGCAATGTATAGTATGACAGTAGGTAATAGAAACATAAATTGTCGTAATTATAATACATTTCCGAAATATAAATAAACTATAAAATGGCAATAGAAATAGAGTTAAAATCTAAGTTCAGAAGCGTTTTTGGTAAGCAATGATGCCTTATCATCATCAAATTAAAAATGTAACAAATCAATTACTACTCAATGTTGAGGTACACTCGAAAAGACAAAAGTCGAAACCATCTATACAAGAATACTGCAGAGTGACTTCAACTGTTTTTACTTTTTTTATATATATATATATTTATATCCTTTACAATTATTATGCTCTTTTACATTTTTCGAATGGCCTCTTGTATAATATATTATAAGGGTCAAAATGATGTCTACAATATAAATTTCTTCTTTTAGTTAAATAAAATAGAACATAGGTACTATACAAGTCATCACAGATTAAAATAGGACTTTGTGGATATCAAAAATGCTTGACAGGGGCCATTAATTTTGTCTCGCAGTATTATCGAAAATCTGTACTTTTATAACGTGTATTGGTATAGCTGTTATAGTGGTGTTAGTTAAAACAATAGGTATAATAATAATATTATTGTAATAATACACATTCATGACGTGGGCTATACCAAATGTTTATTTTTATCATCCGAGGCAGAAGCAAAACCAAATATAATAAAGTAATAATACCCTGGCCGATAACAAACGCTTAAATTATAATATATTTATAATATTATATTGTATCGTTTGCGTATCACATTTATTTTGTGTTAATTCGGGATTATGCAAAATGTAACGGTTGTTCCTTGAGGGTGACATAATGCTGGTATTAACTTATAATGTGTTTAATATATTCGTACGAGAATCCCTGATTTTAATTTAGAATTTTAATGCTAGTTTTATTTTTTTTTTTAAATCTGGTTGAATCGCACAATCCGCTATTAAAATGTTATAATTATTGATCTGTTGATTACTGTTGTAAGACCCAGCTGTTGTATTTGAAAAGCAATATAAATATTAATGTCACCAACATAGGTGTGATATTATGCATTCATCAATAAATACATTTTTATTTTACCAATGTAATATAATATTATATAAGATATACTGTTTTTGTCACATTTCACGAATGTTAGAGTATACCTTTTCATAAGTTGTAATTAGTAATAGTTGTAGGTAAGTGAAAGAGGTGGGTGGGTGTATGGGAAGGGAATATATGATATGGCTTTATTCAGTTGTTTTAATTTTAATTTTCCAATGCGCCACTTAGTATTTTACCTACCAGTTATACTTTCCTGGGAGGCTTGAATCATGAGAAATTATACATTTTATTATGATGAACATCATTTTTTATTACAATCTATTATCAAATTGAAAATATACCTACTTGTTAATAAATTTAATAACGTCTTGTTGACTTGTTATTTTTGCTTTTTTCTTTTAAATATTTTGTGTTAGAAAGTAACTGTCATTTGTTTTTATAATTTAATATATTTTTATGATACTTAATATAATTTATCAGGAGCTTAAAAATGTATTTGCTTTTACCATAATTTATATATTTTTTAATTAAACTACCTTCAAATATTAATTTAACATTGGTTAAAACAGTTATTTATTTCTCTTCGTTTTAGAAACAACATTTTTTGCAAGACTCGGCAAGAGCATAGAATAACAGGTAACAGTTATTTTTTTATATTTACCTTCTTTTAACTTGATCTCAAACTTACAATATAAAATATATATTGTTATAATTGTATTAAAAACTATAAACTATACCAAGGATGGGCAAGGATTGGTTATAAAAAAAAAATAGTTATTAATTGAGTATTAGATTGAATATTATTTTAGACCTGCATTTTATATTTGGTCAAACCCATCAAAATGATTGTGACAGTGACTACTAACCACTAACCACTGTTATGACTGTGTTAAAAATCTTTAATATAGGGTAAATCCACTAGAATTTGTCACCGGAAGTTTTGAACATCCATACGCCGGGTATTAAATGACAAATTTTGAAATAATATATAATGTTGGTATTTTTAACGGGCAATGAAGTGCACTTCGGCCAATTCAACGGGATCACCTATTTATAATAAATGCAATCAATTTATTTTAACTGTCATAAAATAAATTCCTCCCCCCAACCACACAAGTAGGTACATATAAAACATATCTATACAGTATACACTATTGTGTGTACCTACCTAACAATCAATTTGTTGAAATTAATCGAATTTTAAGTTTTAACCCCATCCCGTCATCATAATCTACTTTTAAAACATTTTGATCACTGATAATAATTATAGTAGGTACCTGCATTCGCTAACCGACTAACCAATTATAATTTTGATTTTTTCGATCTGATATGATTATTAAGAACTTAATTCGTACAATATCGACACGTATTTAGGCTTTTGAATTAACTTGTTTAGCCACTTAATAATATAGACGGTCACTAATATACACCTTTTCTTCAATAAATTATTATAGGTAATTACTATGTTCATTCGGTCAAGTCTCTAATTATATATATGGCACACAATGATAATAGTATGTGAAGCCACATAAACATGATACCTACGTAATAAAAAAATGTGTTGTTATTATATTTAGGAAGAATAATGGTAGCCAATATATATTATATATATATATATAAGATTACTCATTCCCATTTTTTCTTAATATTATATAATATTTCATAGTAGTAATAAATTAATTTAAATTTTGATTTTTGGAATTTAAGGAGTGACCCAGTTTAACATGTATAAGTCTAAGTATTTTAAAATCTAGTCTTTAAGCGTATACTTAAGAATACCGAAAATCATAATTTGAATAAATGCATTATTATTAAAGGATATAATAACCAGTATATACCTGCATGTTGCTTAGTGTTCAATCATTAGTAAAAATATCAATATGATACCTATTTTTAATTGTATTACTTCATTTATATTATATGAACGACCAGAATCTATATAATAATAATAATAATATTACATAAAGAATCTAAAAATAATAATAATATTACATAAAGAATCTAAACATAATAATAATTCATATTTTGAGATTTGTATGATATCTAAGATAATATAAATAACTAATAACTTAAACAATATAAATAAAAACATTTCCAAATAAAAACAAAGAGGACCAGTGGGTATACCACTCTGTTGTAGGTACGTGTAGTTGCGTCGAGTATGTCATTGTAATGGATGCGTGTTAGTTTTGAATTCAATGATTAATAATTGCACACAAAAAATTGTTTGTATACACAACTTTAATATAATTGTTTGGAGAAAAAATCTACGGTTACTTAGGTATGATTGAGTCACACAAAAAAATTAAATAATTTTGTTAAAAATTGGTTTCGAGTAAAAATTTTCATTTTTGCTTCTTTGTCTTTCCCACCTCTTTCAAAAACTACTGCGAATTATCTATTTTTACCTATCGAAACTTAATCTTTTTTATCACAATAGATGCTGATCGGAAAATTTTTAAGGCACCAAATGTTGATGATAGATAGAAAAAAATTACCACACATCATTATAAAATCACGATGCTCAGAATCTAAAAATATAATATGATGAACATAAAAACAGATAATAACTAACATTTACCTTTCTGAAATGTCAATAAATATAAGTTGAGTTAATAACTAAATGCTTTATCAACTTGACAGTTCAGAATGTGTTTATTATAATATTATACAATAATGATAATTTTCTAGAAAATATCGGCTCCATTAAAAATAATACCTAATGATAATAACTATTAACAGTGTTAACAGTGACACAGTGTTAACCAACCAGGATACATAAACAATTTAATCGTAACTTAGAGAGGTAATTAGTGAAAAGAATTAATAATATTTTCTTATGCCATGGCCCGAGTTTTAAATAAATACACGTAGGTAGTACCTACCATAAACAATATAGATGATTAGGAGGTACTTATAAATTACACTATAAATTAATATTCTCAACAATAATAATATGTAAAGTAGCTAACAGGTTTTCTTCATGAGGTGTAGGTTAACGCGTACGCGTAACGATTTTTTAAAATATGTTACGGAAGTGGAACACAGTGAACCAAAAACTCATCTTAAACTAGTTAAACTATTACAGGAATTAGAGCACAGATCAATCAAAAGATGATTAACATACTGACCCGTGAGCGGAAGGTTTTTTTTTTTTAATTTTGTTGAATTTGATGGATAAAAGGGAGTGGGGTAGATTTTCGTGGATACATTACGTGAATGTTAAAAGTATGCAACGAGAACAACAATTTATAGTCTACACTACATTTTACCGGGGTTTTGGAAATGCGGTCATACCGTTCTTCATGGGACCCCAATCGTGTTCGTGTGAGCAACTGTGCAAGTACCTATTTACACACTCACAAGCACACACACAGACATGCAGGAACGAAGGTCCTTAAGCAGTATTTCAATGTTAATTTATTGTTTTCATCGAACTAATGAATTATTTTCCCGGCCGTGTCCTTCGGTTAAACAA